GTTCATTTTTGATGACAGAAAGGAACCAACTCTAATTGTGAAAACTGGTTAAAAAAAAAAAAAGGGAAAAGAATCAAGCATATTTATCCTGTCTTTCCTATCTAAATTATGATGCAAGTAACCAAATAGTTGATGAGGTAAAGTTACTTTTAACAGAAACATTTCAGAGTTAGATAATCAAGTCGTATGTCTGAAATTTGCTTCAAAATAGTCAGTTGAGAGGAGACACAAATGAAGTATAAATGTAACAAAATGGACCAGAAACACTGTTAAAGAGCAAACCTAAATAAGTATATGGGGATTCATTATCTGCTGTCTTTTATGTAAACTTCACATTGTATAATCATAATTGTATCACTGCATTACAAATTTGCCACTCATATACTGGGCATTTTGGATAGCTCACAGTGTTAAAATGCTGAACTATCAGCAGAATATAGCTTATTGGTTCTCTGATATATCCAACTGCTTAAACCATTATTCACAAAGGTATTAAAGTTTAAGCAAAGCAAATTTTGACTAAATTTGATCTTATGCTACAGTTGATCTACATGCTAAAGGTTTTACAGAAAAACAGCAAGAGGAACAGCATTGTATACTTATTGGTTCAGAAATGGACTCTGGAGCCAAACTGCACAAATTAGAATCTCAACTTTGCCACTTATTTGCCATATGACCTTGAGCAATTACTTAAAACTTCTTCATTTTAAACATGGAGATGATAATGGTATCAACTTTAAAAGGCTGATCTGAAGATAAAGTGCAGATATATAATACCTTTTCCAAAATCCTTGGGACCATATGTGTTCCCGATTTTTTTTTAATAGCGTAAGATATGCATACCATTTTAACCTACCACCCTCAATGTACTCTGGGTCAGCACCCCATAATCTCACACAAAATGCAACAAAATATATGAATACTCACACTATAATAGCCCCATGTCAGTAAAGGTCAGGCTTTACCAACAAAGCAGATTTGACAACAAACTTAGAAAGTTCTTTTTTGGTTTTCAGAGCTTTCTAGATTTCAGAACTGTGGATAAGTGATTATGATCCTATGTAAGTGAATTCTTAAACAATACCAAAGTAAACACTGTGTCTCCTATTATCACCTATGACCTCAGATTTTTAAAGACAATATGTACTTGTAAAACTTAAGATTGTAATTTCAAAAGAAACAAATGAGCATGGCATTGTATAAAACTGAAAGGAACACCTCAGCCATGCTCTGCCCATCACTACCTGAAAAAGAAGAGTTTAAAGTTGAGCAAACAGAAAAACCTCCCATCAGTCCTTTCTTAGTATTATTGGAGGACTGAAAATGAAGTTTAACTTATCTGGGAGTAGGTCGGTATGGGGAAGAAATTCTGGACAGCACTAAGAGTAAATTCTCTGTATCACAATTTTGGATTACTGAAGCATTGTGAAGTTTTGTTTGTTTTGAGAAAAAGTATGTAAGTATTAAGATACATTTGATTTCTATTCTATCTTGTTAAAGGATCTTGATTTGCTAAAAGTTAAATGGTATGTTGGAAAGGCAATGGCTTAAAAGTACTTTGGAGGATCAAAGTTGCAGGGTTCAGTAGTAGTAGTAATATGAACTCAGGGTAACTTATGAATGGAGGATAACTTATTTTATCTGTTACCATTTGAGTACAAAAATGTTTTTTAAGATTTTTAGACGAATATCCTAATACTGTTTAAGACTTTAAAAAGACACAGATCAGCCCTATAGTAACTACACCAGTTAGTTACAAGAAGTAAATTCTTAGAATTATGTTCTCCAAAAATATATTGTTACTAGAAAAACTATACTTAATACTAGTAAAACTCTTAGTAATATAACTCAGAAAATTTGGGCTTATCCTCATTTTCGTAAAGTATGAATTCCAAAGTTATACAAGTCATATTATCTTCCAAAAACAAAACTATCTTCACTCATTGGTACTGACCACTCTAAATTATGTTAAAAAGGAAATACATTATTACTATTTCAAAATCTTTATTCAAATCAGATCCATGCTTATTATTTACATTAGCTTTCATTTAGAATTAAAATATAGTATCAATCTGTAGTTTAAATCATACTTTTAGCCCTTTACAAAATATGAAATTAAAGTTGTTATAGTTTAAAGCTGAATAGAACTGGGGAAATTAGACTAAGTGAAAATGAAAAATTATGATACATTAATACATACATGTATATATATATATATACTAGGCAAATGAACAAGATATAATACCTACAGTCATTTTCTATTTTTTCTTGTGGCTATTTTCTAAATATTATAAATCACATACTTTTAATAAGCATTTAAATAAAATTTTCAATTAATAAATGCCAATTGAAGGATCACAGAAAAAAATTTCCTGAACTTGTCTTCTCATTTACTTAACTACATGTTTTCCTAGGTCAGAAATTATCCGTATTTAGAATATCTTAAATCACAACAGATACATTTGATACATCCCCATATGCTAAACACAGTACACCTGGAAGCTGTCCCAAAAAAAAGAGGTAAAGAAAAAGAAAGAAATGGTAGTCTCTATTTAGCTTCCCAAGAGTTGGAAGGATGCCCATAGCCTGTGCTTAGTTGTCTATATAAGTCAACAATGTTTACACCTCTTTTACCCTTTTTTTATATTTTTGACATTGTTATGATTTGTATTATATTTCTATTTTCTTTCAAGAATGGAGACATCTGGCTGCAAACTATATTCTTATTCATTAAAACATAAATATTATTTTACTAGAATATAGATAAGTAAGTTTTAATGACAAGCAGCATAATACAGCAACCAATGTTCAACAGGTATTCTGCTACTTAGTGGAGTTTTTCAAGAAACTAAATTCAGGACACCTTCTCAACTTACAAAATATATTGAGAAATCTAAGTGTTTAGTAAGATCAGTATGAACATCAGGTATTAATTTGTGGGTAAAGAATAACATGGTAATATACAGTCAGAGATTTATATAGCTGCTTGTCATTTTTAAATTAAATAAACTGAAAACACTTTAACATTTTAAATTGAGTTGATTTCATTGTTAATAAAGATTAAGAAAAGAGAATGTTTGATAATATAAAATTGAAAGGTAAAGGAGTTTTATTTCAATCTTTTCTACACAATGGGTTTTTCTTCTCACTAATGGATCTATTCCAAGAACAATTTCATTAATTCCTAACTTTCTAATTTCAAATGCTTGACAGAATTTGCAACTTAAGTTTCCTATGTTCCCTAATTCTGTACATTTCTTATTGCTACCATTCTTGTCATTTTTTGTCAGCCCTGGAATATTAAAAAAAAAAATCAAGCTGACAAAAAGATATTATATTGCTTTTTTCCACTAAAATACAGAAAATTAATTTTATGAATTTGGCTCACACTGAAAGAATATTTATTACTGCTACAAATCAGAGATCCAATGACAGAAATGCTGTCTTGAATACAAAAAGAACAAAAATGAGGTCACTTGAATTGCCCTGAAAAGCATCCCAAAATCTTCAACCTGGCTTACTTATAGCTATACTCTGAAGTTCTAATGTTTAAAATTTGAGTAAAAATTAAGCGAGAGTTTTTATTTGCAAGTAAAGGCAACTAAATGACTTTCAGTAATAAAATGTATCAAAATATTTCACAAGTCTAAAACACAGCCTGGTTGATCCTGAACAAAATAACATTTTGAAGAAGGCAGAGTTGTTTTTTTAACAGCTATTCCATACTATTTTTGAATTTAAATGTTCAAGAAAAAAAATTAAATGATAAATTATAGAGAAGTGCAAAATGTCAAATTTCTATAATTTCTCTACTTTGTTATGAATATTCCATAATATCAAACTTCTTAATGTGCCAAAAATAAGGCTTTACAAAATATGAACAATTTTTTTAAAGAAAATTTTTAGTAATTTTATTACTTTTGACTCATTTTACATAGTAGTAAAACAATACCTCTTCAAAACCACTTAAATGGTAATGATATCATCACAAAATCACTGTAAGTAAATGTTTCCACTATCCAATCATGCCTAGATAACTGAATAGCTACAGCTTTCCCCAAATAGTTACCAAAATGTTTACAGACTTAATTGTGAAATCTGGGTGAAATAAATTTTGAGGCCACAAAAATTTTAAAGTTTAAATAATTTACTCTTCAAACTTCAGAGATTGTCAATGTGATTTCTACTTTAAAAGGAAAAAAAATAGTTCAAAGTTTAATAACCGCAGGTTTAATCATTTTTTTACTTGAACACGTAATGTCCATTTTCATGAACAGTAAGTAGGTATACTGAAGATCTAAGTGTGAAAGACTTCAAAGTGTCAGTATGTTAATCTCACTCTGAATGTTCTCAATATATACAAACACATAAATTATAGATACAACAAGCAGTTATATATCTACATTACAATATATGAACACCATTCTCCTTTCCTGACATATGGATATGAGGAAAAAGTAATAAATCTCTGTGCTATTTTAGGCAAAAAAAAAAAAGGCATTTTAAAAAATAAATCTTTAAAGAATAGTTTCAAAAATAAAGTTCAAATATTGCACAAAATAATTTAACTGCAAAAATTACTATGTACTATAAAACAATTTTTTTCATTTGTTGAACTCTATATTAAATTCCACTTTCTAATTCTATAAAAGAATTTATTGGAAGTTTCCATTTAGCTGTTAAATGTTTACATTCACTTTGATGGGAATGTAATTTTCAGAAGTTAACTGAGCCTTTGTCTTAAAAGCTCATCTATTTGAGTCTTATACATATTTTTTACATCTTCAAGATCTAATCGAAGTTCTTCTGCCTCTTCCGCTTTCTCTCCATACATCTGCAGAATAGTGTTGTATCTTTGATCCAAATCCTATAAAACATATTTGTTTACAATTTTTAAATAATTGTAAAGAAAATCTTTAATATTATATTTATATTATCATAAATGAGCCACCAGTAAACATAACAATCTAAATAAAAGTATGTAGTCAT